TGTGTGTGTGTGTGTGTGTGTGTATGTGTGTGTGTGTGTGTGTGTGTGTGTGTGTGTGTGTGTGTGTGTGTGTGTGTGTGTGTGTGTGTGTGTATATATATATATATATATATATATATATATATATATATATATATATATATATATATATACACACACACACACACACACACACACACACACACACACACACACACACACACACACACTCACACACACATAGAAACACACACACAAAAAACAACTCATGCAATTGCGACAAACATGTTTGCATGCACTCAAATGCATCACTTTCTATTCATGCTGTGGATAAATTGGTCAGTACTAACCAAATCATCTTTCACTTTACCACAAAACGCAAAAATAATAATAATACACATACACACACTCTCTATGAACATTTGCTCGTTTAACATTAATAATTAATATGTAGAAAACACGCGTGAAGCGAATAAGAAACACTGAAACCGCGTCTGCTGAATGGAGATCGCCCACAGTCATTATATCGCTATAGCTGCTGCTATCACTGACTGAAGAAATGTGGAGAAAAGGCGTAAACTCACCATCGCACAATCACACGCGATGTGTGTACTGTATATTCCCTTTTCTTCTTTGAACGCCTGCAGATGGAGGTATGTTCGTGTGCACCTGTGATCCGGATCTGTGCGTCTAGAGAAATGAAGGTCTGTGGAGCAGCGGAGGAGCGCGAGACTGAAGAGCTCGTGATTCCCGCACTGACTCTGAGCTGCTGCTGCTGATGATGAAGATGATGATGATGAAAATCACCTGCACTGACAAACACACACACACAGGACATCAGCACGCATACTATTGAACCATTGTTATTCAGCATTGTTATTTCACATCACTTCTTCACCATCATCCGCTAAGCAGAGAACTTCACAATACACATTACGCATTCAATGCGCTTTCTTAAGTCTTTAATTTAGTGCTGTCAAAAGATTAATCGCGACTAATCGCATCCAAAATAAAAGCTTATAAATTATACTATATATAGGCCTTTGCATATAGGCTGAGAAAATGTTTTTTTATATTGATAAATTAAACATGAAATACAATATTTAATATCATCTGCTGTGTAAAACATATGCTGGATAAGTTGGCGGTTCATTTCACTGTGGTGACTAATGATAAATCTGAAAAAAAGAAAAAGGACGAAATCGGAAAAAGCAATGAATGCCTGAAATATATATATATATATATATATATAT